TGAGACTCTATCTCAATCAATCAATCAATCAATCACACAGAATTTACATACCAACAGATCTCAATACAGGGATCTTAGATCTTGATATAAACAAGTATTTTAAAATTTATAACTTTTTTTTTTTTTTCAAGACAAGGTCTCACTCCAGCCTGGGCAACACAGTAAAACTGTGTCTCAAAAAAAAAAAAAAAGTTATAACTTTTATATTTTAAAAACAGATATTCAATTTTTTGAATTGAATATGTTTTTAAAATATATATTCAGCCCACCGCAACCCCTGCCTCCCCAGTTCCAGCGATTCTCTTGCCTCAGCCTCCCGAATAGCTGGGATTATAGGCATGCGCCACCACGCCCGGCTAATATTTTTGTATTTTTAGTAGAGATGGGATTTCATCACGTTGGCCAGGCTGGTTTTGAATTCCTCATCTCAAATGATCCACCTGCCTCTGCTTCCCAAAGTGCTGGGATTACAGGCGTCGGCCACCACACCTGGCAATTCTGTGTTCTTTTTTTTTTTTTTTTTTAGACGGAGATGGAGTTTCGCTCTTGTTACCCAGGCTGGAGTGCAATGGCATGATCTCGGCTCACTGCGACCTCCGCCTCCTGGGTTCAGGCAATTCTCCTGCCTCAGCCTCCTGAGTAGCTGGGATTACAGGCACACGCCACCATGCCCAGCTAATTTTTTGTATTTTTAGTAGAGACAGGGTTTCACCATGTTGACCAGGATGGTCTCGATCTCTTGACCTCGTGATCCACCCGCCTCGGCCTCCCAAAGTGCTGGGATTACAGGCTTGAGCCACCGCGCCTGGCCAATTCTGTGTTCTTTAAACCACAAATGTTGGTGCTTTTTTATTCTAGCAGCTAAGTCCTTATGTAAACCGATACAGAGCAGCAGAGATGACATCCCCCAGCGGGCCCTTTATACTGAGTTTGAGCTCATTTGTCCCACAAGTTGACAAAGCCATTCCTAAATGAGGCCTGTGCTATAGCAACAGCAGCTTTTATTTTGCTTGTTTTGTTTTGTTTAGAGACAGCATCTTGTTCTGCTGCCCAGGCTGGGATTACAGGCATGAGCCCCTGTGCCAGCTACTTCATTGCTTTTGGCATGGAGATATTGTTCCAGACTTCCTGGCACCTTGGAGCTTAATCCAGGAACCTTGTCCAGGCTGTAACCGAAGTCTTTGTGTTGAGATAAGAGAAATTGTATTACTCCCTTGGGTCGGAGCAATTAGCTAGATAATGATTACAGCTCTATGCACAGAGACCAGAGAAGAGATGAGTGCAGTGAGACAGGAGGGAGATGAAGGCTGGCAGGACTGGGGGAAGGTGCTGGAGGGAGGAGAAGTGGGTGGAATGAGACTCAAAATTTCCTCCCAGGAATTGGGACTGAAGTTCCAGGCAGTTGCCATGCCAAGCTCTATCCGTGAGTGGCAAACTCAAATGTCTACAAGGACCAGGCAAGAAATAGGAATAAATGAAATAGATGGAAGACAATAGGGGTTGGTGGGGACTTTGGTGAAGTAGAAATGCATGTCCCTATGTCAATTAGCTTTTGTTTTATTAAAAAAACACCAACGGCCAGGCAAGGTGGCTCACCCTGTAATCCCCAGCACTTTGGGAGGCTGAGGTGGGCGGACCACTGGAGGCCAGGAGTTTGAGACCAGCCTGGCCAACATAGTGAAACCCATCTCTATTAAAAATACAAAAGTAAGGCCGGGCGCGGTGGCTCAAGCCTGTAATCCCAGCACTTTGGGAGGCCGAGGCAGGTGGATCACGAGGTCAAGAGATCGAGACCATCCTGGTCAACATGGTGAAACCCCGTCTCTACTAAAACTACAAAAAATTAGCTGGGCATGGTGGCGCGTGCCTGTAATCCCAGCTACTCAGGAGGCTGAGGCAGGAGAATTGCCTGAACCCAGGAGGCGGAGGTTGCGGTGAGCCGAGATCGCGCCATTGCACCAGCCTGGGTAACAAGAGCGAAACTCCGTCTCAAAAAAAAAAAAAAAAAAAAAAAAAAGTAGCTGGGCATGGTAGTGCATGCCTGTAATCCTAGCTGCTCAGGAGGCTGAGGCAGGAGAATTGGTTGAACCTGGGAGGCAGAGGTTGCAGTGAGCCGAGATTGCACCACTGCACTCCAGCCTGGGCAACAGAACAAGACTCCCTCTCAACAAAAAAAGAAAACTTGCTAATGTAGATTCCTCTTGTACCATCTCCAGGCTGATAAGGACCTAAGGCCAGGCACAGTGGCTCCTGCCTGTAATTTCAGCACCTTCAGAGGCTGAGGAGGGAGGATTGCCTGACTCCAGGAGTTAAGGACCAGCGTGGCAGCCTGGGCAATGGAGTAGGACCTCATCTCTATAAAATTAGCCAGGCATGGTGGTCTACAACCGTAGTCCCAGCTATTCAGGAGGGTGAGGTTGGAGGATTGCTTGAGCCCAGGAGTATATGGAAGGAAGAAGATTGAAAGATTAATGACAAGGAAGCTTGGAAGAAGTATGTGGATGGGTCCCTCAGATTCTGCATAGACCATGAAGATATTTGTGTACCATAGGAGTGCCCACCCAAGGGGAGCCACTAAAGTGAAAATTCTTTTTTTTTAATTTAATTTTATTTTTTAGGTGGAGTCTCACTCTTTCCCAGGTTGGAGGGCAGTGGGACAATCTCAGCTTACTGCAACCTCCGCCTCCCAGGTTCAAGTCATTCTTTGGCATCAACCTCCCGAGCAGCTGGGATTACAGGCACCTGCCATTACACTCGGCTAATTTTGTATTTTTAGTAGAGACAGGGGTTTCTCCATGTTGGCCTGGTCTGCAAGACCTTATCTCTTAAAAAAAAGAAAGAAAGAAAGAAAGAAATTCATTTGAAAGTAAAGGAGGAGCCGGGCACGGTGGCTCAAGCCTGTAATCCCAGCAATTTGGGACGCTGAGGTGGGTGGATCACCTGAGGTCGGGAGTTGGATACCAGCCGGGCCAACATGGTGACACCTCATCTCTATTTAAAAAAAAAAGAAAGAAAGAAAGAAAGAAAGTAAAGGAAGTGCAGCAATGGGCTCCTGCCCATGGAATCTTTAATAGAATCTTACTATCATCCCCATCACCCAGAAGCAACTGGCCTACATGAAAAGTAGAATGAGTCATCAATGATTCCATTAAAGTACCAACTGGGATACAATCCCCTGAAAGAACGGGAGTGACTTACAGGACACAGTCCATGCTTTGAATGAGAGACCACTCTATGATGTTTCCCCAGAGTGAGAGTTTATGGGACTGGAACCCGGGCACCTGAGTAGGAATGGGTCCTCTCTCTGTTATACACAATAGCTTGGAGAATTGCTTCTCTCAACAGCTTTGAGCTCTGCTGGTTCAGAGATTTTGGTCCTCATGGGGAGTAATGCTTCCATGGGGAGCACAACAATGGATCCATGAACTGGGAGAAAAGACCTGCCTTGGCCTCCCAAAGTGCTGGGATTACAGGTGTGAGTCACCGTGCCTGGCCCTACTTGTGGCTCTTAAATGGAAAAACCTAACATTAAATTTACAAGCATAGTTTGAAAGTGTTAAGGGAATTTAAAAGCTATAAAAGCCCTCTTTAAAAGAGATTGTGGCCAGACACAGTGGCTCAGGCCTGTGATTCCAGCACTTTGGAAGGCCGAGGCAGACGGATCACCTGAGGTTACGGGTTTAAGACCAGCCTCGCCAACGTGGTGTAACCTGTCTGTACTAAAAACTACAGAAATTATCCGGGTATGTTGGTGGATGCCCGTAATCCCAGCTACTTGGGAGGCTGAGTCACAAGAATCACTTAAACCCAGGAGGTAGAGGTTGCAGTGAACCAAGGTGGCACCACTGCACAACAACCTGGGTGACAGAGAAAATTTTTATCAAAAAAAAAAAAAAAAAATGAAATAATAAGATTGTTAAAATATTTTAGCCGGGCGCGGTGGCTCAAGCCTGTAATCCCAGCACTTTGGGAGGCCGAGGCGGGTGGATCACAAGGTCAAGAGATCGAGACCATCCTGGTCAACACGGTGAAACCCCGTCTCTACTAAAAATACAAAAAAAATTAGCTGGGCATGGTGGCGCGTGCCTGTAATCCCAGCTACTCAGGAGGCTGAGGCAGGAGAATTGCCTGAACCCAGGAGGCGGAGGTTGCGCTGAGCCGAGATCACGCCATTGCACTCCAGCCCGGGTAACAAAAGAGAAATTCCGTCCCAAAAAAAAAAAAAAAAAAAAAAAAAAATCTTTTAGAAGCTGGGTACAGTAGTTCACACCTCTAATTCCAGCATTTTGGGAGGTAGAGGCGGGAGAATTACTTGAAGGAGTTGGAGACCAGCCTGGACAACACAGCAAGACGCTGCCTCAAAAACAAACACTGTCTATTGGCTGGGTGAGGTGGGTCATGCCTGTAATCCCAGAACGTTGAGAGGTTGAGGCTCGAAGGTTGCTTGTGCTCAGGAGTTCAAGACAGCCTGGACAACACGGTGAAATCCAGCCTCTACAAAAAATACAAAAATTAGTCGGGCATGGTGGTGCGCCCCTATAGTCCCAGCCACTCAGGAGGCTGAGCGGACAACATGGTGAAATCCAGCCTCTACAAAAAATACAAAAATTAGTCGGGCATGGTGGTGCGCCCCGATAGTCCCAGCCACTCAGGAGGCTGAGGCGGGAGGATCGCTGAACCCAGAAGATCAAGGCTGCAGTGAGCTATGACTGCACCACTGCACTCCAGCCTGTGCGACAGCGAAACCCTGTCTAAAAACAAAAAAGAAAAATAAAACCTCTTGGACTAGGCCAGGATCTTCCCTAGTTTCTAAAACCAGGACAACTGTGCTGCACCCGCTGCCTGCCAGAATTAGAGCGCTATAAATAGACACGATGTGTTTCTCAGGGTAACAGATATAAGACCGTTTTACCCCCAAAGACTTCAGCTTGTGTTTCCTAAAAATAAGGACATTTAACGTCCCAACAAATCTCTGAGGAAGGTCCTGCGTTAGCCCTCACGTTACCGATACGGAAACAGGCTCGGAGGTGCAAACTCTGGCTGTGTAGACAGAACAGGGGGTTTGAACTCGGGCTTAGTTAGGCCTTTCCTGGCTCTCCCATACCAGCGGGCAGGGAGAGACTCGGCAAAGAGTTGCACTTGCCCCCGGCGAAATCCCCAAAAGTCTGCAAAAACGTATTCCCTGGTACCGCTTTCCGCTCTGCTGTGACCAGCCAAAAATCCGAGACCGAAGTGGAAGTGTGCTGCGGCCCCGGGCGCGGGGCTGGGGACGGCCTCCTCCTTGGTGGACGAATCGGAGGAGCGGGGCTTCCCCCAAAAACGCCCCAGCCCCAGCCCCAGCCCCACGTCCCCAGCTGACAGGGTGCGCACAGGGGGCGGGGCCTGGGGTTCCTGGACTGGGGAGGGCCGCGCGTGTCCTTGGGCAGAGAGGGGAGGTGACTACGGCCGAAGAGGACGACGCAGAATGCTGGCCCCGCGGGTGAGGCCCCCATGGGCTGGGCCAGAACCCCCTACCCAGAAGCCCTCGCCCTGGTAGTACAGGACTCTCCAGGCACCCCTGCATTCCGGGCCTTGGAGCGTGAGTCCCCCCTTCAGGGCCTGGGACTCCCTGCTAAAGTCGAGTCCCCTCGCCCACAATCCACGCTTCGGAGACAGCTGGGGACCCCCAGCCTGGCCCAAAGCCCTGGGTTTGAACTCACATCCCGAGGTGTTAACACTGGAAATATAACACCCTGTCCTCACCCGGGGCTTCTCTGGCAACCCGGACGCTCCCGGGGACCTCCATATTCCGGTCCCCACGCTTCTGGGATCTGGTTTCCTCCCTTTAATCCAGGAAACCCTCCCCGCAAAAACATCTCAGGACTTAGTCCTCCCAGAACAAAGTTCCTCTGGGTCTTCTCCCTTCCAGGCCCCTCTAGGCAGCCGGGTCCACCTCCAGGCCAAGTCCTCTCCTCACACAGGCTGGCAGTTCGCGTCTCGCCTTTGGGACGCTTGCTACTGTCCCCACGTGCAGGCCTCAGAGAGCAGGATTCCCCTTCAGGGCACCCTTCCAGGTGCCTCCAATGCCCGGCCACCTCCCACCCCGCAGGTCTCCCAGGCGCTGATCCGCTCCTTCAGCTCCACAGCCCGGAACCGCTTAAAGAATCGAGTGCCCGAGAAACAGAAGCTCTTCCAGGTGGGCAGGGCGGGGGAGGACCCGGGGCGCCCGCCGGGAGCGCGCCGAGCCGGGGCAGGCCGGGCGCGCTGTGAGGAGCAGCCGGCACCCCTTTCTCATCAGATACCCCCACATCCAGGAGGACAATGGCATCCCGTTGTACCTGAAGGGCGGCGCCGTTGACAACATCCTGTACCGAGTGACCATGGGGCTGTGTCTGGGCGGTAAGTGCACGGCCCGGCCCGGCCCGAGCGGCGGGAGAGGCGGGGCTGGACCCAGGGGGGAGGCGGCGGACTTCCGGGCGGGACCAACCAGCATCTGGGCTGGGGGGTGGCGTTTAGGAAGGGGGTGGAGTGCTCAGCTGGAGTCGGGCCTGTAGGGAGCGGGCTACCTAGGACTTGGGCTTGCGTCCCAGGAGGGGAGCTGGGCTAGTGGTGGCGAGACTGAGGCCTAGGGAGGAGTTGGGGAGGAAGCTCCCATCCTGGTGTAGATCAGCGCTAGGGGGTTTTGCACTAGGGAGTCCAATTTGGGAAGGGAGCTGGACCCCAAACTAGAGCTGGGGTCCAGGCTGGGAATTGGGGAGGCTGAAGAAGGCCGTAAAAGCCCGGGATGTTCTGCGAGGTGATTAGGTCTCATTCTGTCTCCCCTACTTCCCCTTTCCAGGCACTGCCTACGGCTTGTACTGCCTTGGCTGGGCCTCCTTCCCCCGCAATAAATGAGACCAAGAAGCCTGGGGGTCTGAGGAACTTGGACAAGTGTCAATAAACGCTGGTCTCTCTCTCTCTGTGTGTGTGTGTGTGTGTGTGTGTGTGTGTGTGTGTGTGTGCACCCGTCCCCGCCAAACCCAGCCTCCCACCAACCAGAGAGCTCTGCCCTGGGGGCAGCCCACTACCCCCAGCCCTTGGTGCCTCACGCTCGACCAGGCTAGGATGTTGCCACCTCTTGGCCCTCTGCTGAGTACCCCAAACAACACCCACAGGCTGCCCCTCAGGACCCAGGGACATGGGGTGGTGTCCTCAAGTGGGAAGGAAGACACTGAGCATGGCTGATGATACAACAGAGGCAGAGGCCAAGTGTGGATGGAGAAGCTGCAAAAGAGGCAAACGTGGCCTTGGGGAAGAGAGCCAGGGGTAGCACTGAGACCTCCCTCCAGCCCAGACTCTGGAAGCAGAAATCACCCACGCTTCTGAGTCCTGTCTCAGCCTCCACAGGATCTGAGAGGGATCAGCAAGAACAAGGCTACATCTCAGGATAAGAAAAAAAATGCAGACAAGAAAAAGACCAGGAGATCCATGAATCCAGCCCTGGGGACAAATCCACCACCTCCCCCGCTCCCCAGGACCCAGAGCCTGAGCCACCCCTCCTCTCTCAGATCAGGAGGCATATCCCACAGAGAGCAGCAACTGGGGTGCATTTATTTCCTCCTGGGCCTGGCAGGCTGGGAGCAGAATATAGACAAAGGCACTGGGGCACGTGGGCCTGGCATGGCCTGGAGCTTGGCTGCCTGGGTGGCAACTGTGAAGGGTGTGCCAGGGCGTGCAGGGACTCGAGTCGTCCTCCCAGAACTGGGAGAGGGCCCTTGGGGCATGGAAGCATCACAAGTGCTAGGCTTGGCACAGGAACACAGGAGAGGCTACAGAGCAGGTGTGCATGGGGCATGGTGGGAGTGGGGAGACCCTTGGGCAGAGCTTGTTAGAGTATGCTAGAGCCAGGGGGAACTCAGGCAGGGCATGTTGGGCCCTGGATGTTGAGAAGTTGGGTAACAAGTGTTGAGAGAACAAAAGCTTGTGGGTCAACGGGCCCCAAGAAGATGTGACTGTAGACCGGATTGGCCCTGGGAAAGACCAAGGCTCCAGGTGACTCCTACAGCGAGGTGGTGAAGGGGTGGGTCTGGGGGTCCCATTCAGGAATACATAGTCAGCTGCAGCCACTGGGGAGAGGAGGGCAGAGAATGAGGACAGGGAACACCAGAGCACCAGCCTGTCTGTCCTCACCCAGGGGCTGCTGGCAAAATAGGAGGGAGGGGACTGAAGCTCAGGACTGGTATGAATGGCTGAGGGATGGGGTCCCCCCAGGCACCCATACCCCAAGATGGGGGTTCTTACCTCCTGGATGTTCACCTGGATTTGTCCAGTGCCATCTTTGTCAAGAGATTTGAAGGCGCCTGGAGGAGATGGGGAAGTTTGAAGGGTAGGGAAGAAAGGAGACTGGTTTTTAGCATAATAACATTACACAAGTATATGGGCTGACACTAATAGCAGCTGGCACTTCCTGAGTATTTGCTGCGTGCCCAGCACTGTGTAAAGTGCTTTGCAGATATTAACTCATTTAATCCAACTCTGTGATATAAGTGTCATTTTAAAATGAGACACAGGCTGGGCGTGGTGGCTCACACCTCTAATCCCAACACTCTGGAAGGCCAAGATGGGAGGATCACTTGAGCCCAGGAGTTCAAGACCAACCTAGGCAACAGAGACCTCATTTCTGTTTTTTAAAAAACTAAAAAGTGGTTGGGCACAGCGGTTCACACCTGTAATCCTAGTACTTTGGGAGGCGGAGGCCAGAGGATCACGAGGTCAGGCGTTCAAGACCAGCCTGGCCAATATGGTGAAACCCCATCTCTACTAAAAATACAAAAATTAGCTGGGCATGGTGGCGTGTGCCTGTAGTCCCAGTTACTCAGGAGGCTGAGGCAGGAGAATCGCTTGAACCTGGAAGCAGAGGTTGCAGTGAGCTGAGATTGCACCACTGCACTCCAGCCTGGGAAACAAAGCAAGATTCCATCTCAAAAATAAATATAAAAAGGAAAAGGAGAGAAAAAAAAATGAGGGGGCCGTGCCCCAGGTCACATAGCAAGAAAGTGAAGAAATGAGGATTGGAATCCAAGCTGTTACCCTCCTCAATAATGGCCTCTGTGTACTGACATCACCTCTGCCCTGGCCTGGCCTCCTACTGACATCTCTGCTACTGGGAGACTCTGCACACTCTACTTCCTGTCCCTAGCGTCTTGCAGGTCCCACTCCTGCCCTGAAACTTGGCTCATGTTCCCCACCCACAGCGAATCTAGACAAGATGCCTACACCACTGTCTCCGCTCAGTTACTGGTGTCCCCACACACAGCGTCCTGCCCTCTCTTTTTTTTTTTTTTTTTTTGTAAGACAGAGTCTTAAACTCTGTCACCAGGCTCGAGTGCAGTGGCATGATCTTGGCTCACTGCAACCTCTGCCTCCCGGGTTCAAGCGATTCTCCTGCCTCAGCCTCCCAAGTAGCTGTGATTACAGGCACGTCCGGCTAATTTCTGTATTGTTAGTAGATATATGCTTTTGCCATGTTGGCCAGGCTGGTCTTGAACTCCTGACCTCAGGTGATCCGCCCGCCTCAGCCTCCCAAAGTGCTGGGATTACAGGTGTGAGTCACCAGGCCAAACCTGATGCTGCCCCTCCCTCTGCCTAGAACCTGCCATGGCTCCCCATTGTCCCTGGTAGAGTCTGATCACCCCCAAACTTGGCACCCACAATCCTGTATGACCTAATTATGTCCACTGCTCCTACCTCCTCTCACTCAGCTCAGAGCTCGGACAGATCCAAGTTCAAATTCTGGCTTTGCAACTTCCTAGCTGGGTAATTATGAACATGAAATTTTGCCTCCTTGAACCCTAAGTTCCTCCTCCATAAAATAAGGATAGTAATGGCTGAACGTGCTGGCTCACACCTGTAATCCCAGCACTTTGGGAGGCCGAGGTGGGTGAATCACAAAGTCAAGAGATCAAGACTATCCTGGCCAACATGGTGAAACTCCATTTCTACTAAAAATACAAAAATTAGCTGGGCATGGTGGTGCATGACTGTAGTCCCAGCTACTCGGGAGGCCAAGGCAAGAGAATTGCTTGAGCCTGGGAGGCAGAGGTTACAGTTAGCCAAGATCACGCCACTGCACTTCAGCCTGGCAACATGGAGCGAGACTATCTCAAAAAATAAATAAATAAGGATAGTAATTCCTACTTCTCAGTGATATCTTCAGTGTTCAGTGTTCAATACACTAACACTCATAAGGCCACATGCAGCCTATAATACCAAGGCTTTGGGAGGCTGAGGTGGGATGATTGCTGGAGGCCAAGAGTTCAAGACCAGCCTGGGCAACACAGCAAGACCCTATATCCACAAAACATTTTAAAAATTAGCCAGGCATGGTGGTGTGTGCCTGTAGTCCCAGGCATTCGGTAAGCTGAGGCAGGAGGACTGCTGGAGCCTAGGAAGTTGAGGCTGTGTGAGCCATGATCGTGCCACTGCAGTCCAGGCTTGAAGACAGAGACCTTGTCTCTTAAAAACAAACAAAAAACTCATAAAAGCCCTCATGATCTAGTCCCTACTGCGCCTCCCAACTGTCTGCTTCCCCATTGCACCCCAGCTTAAGCACTCTTTAAAATAAATCCTGGCCAGGCGCAGCAGCTCATGCCTGCAATCCCAGCCTGGGAGGACAAGGCAGGTGGGTGACCTGAGGTCAGGAGTTCGACACCAGCCTGGCCAACATGGTGAAACCCCTGTCTCTACTAAAAATATAAAAATTATGGGCATGGTGGTGCCTGTAATCCAGCTACTCAGGAGGCTGAGGCAGGAGAATCACTTGAACCCAGGAGGAGGAGGCTGCAGTGAGCCAAGATTGTGCCATTGCACTCCAGCCTAGACAACAAGAGCGAGACTCTGTCTCAAAAAAAAAAAAAGAAAAAAAAGAAAAAAGAAAGAAATCTAACAAAAAGCACCAGAAGCCCCAGCTTCTTTCCCTCCTAGGCCTTTCCACAGTCTGTTCCCTCAGCCTGCAACTGCATTCCCTACCTTCTCACTAAGTCTCTCATCCCTCAGGACTCAATGCTCCCTCTCCAGGAGCCCTCCCTGACCCCTTGGGCTGCATCAGGTGCCTGCTGGGTTGGATTTGCCCTCTAGGCTTCCCCAAGCACAATCTGAGCATGCTCTGCCCACTCTTCCCCCAACCAGAGCCCTAGACCTTCGGTCTATGCTGCCCCCATCACAACCCATCACTCTGCCCTGAGTTTCCCCTCTCCCAGCCATCACCAGTCTGAACTATTAGCGTCTGGGGACTTCTCTCTTCACCACTAGACTGTGTGCTCCATGAGGGCAGAAACGGGCTGATTCAGTCACTGCCATGCCCCCAGCATCGTCTGCCTCAGTCGGGCTTAGAGGAGACGTTGGCCCACAGAAGTCAATGGAATCCCCACCCGGGAAGACAGCTGGGGTGTCACTCACGGAACATGGCATCCAGCCTGACCAAGCAGCTGATGAAGTTGTCAAAATCCATGTTCCCACTTTCATCTGAGTAGCGTCTGATGATCATGTTGTAGAGATGCTCGTTCAGGTGGAACCCTGAGATGGATTTCATCCTTCAGGTGTGGGGGTCACATGGCCCAACCCACTCATGTGCCCAGGAGTCAGGCCCAGACCAGCTGAGTGGGGATTTTCTCACCCATCCCACTCCCAGCGCCACCACGTCCCTGCCGGCCATACCTGCCGCCTCAAAGGCCCCTGGGAGTTCACTGCTGCAGATAGTCCCTGACCGGTCAGTGTCAAACTGTTTGTATATGGCCTGAGGGGACAGAGAGATGGGGTCCAAGTGAGCATGGTGGGGCATGGTGTCTCCGTGGCTAGGGGGTCTGGGTACCAGCGATTTCAGAGGCTGCTACACACCTGCCACCTTTTAATGTTGTTCCACAGGTACTTGAACTCCTCGAATCCCAGCTTGCCTGTGGTGTCGCTCTGGTGGGA